ATTAACTACTTCTTATATATCGTGTCAGAGTTCATCTCTGACTCTCATTTGCCTGCTCCAAGGATTCTGCCTTACACCTGGGGAAATCCCCAAGCTTTCCTCACCTGCACCTTTACCGTGTAGGTCACACTCACCTTGGGTTTCATGCCTTAACATTCTCTGCCATCTTATGTGCTCCAAATGTGCTCGATTCTGTCCTTAGATAAGATCTCTCCAGCAGAGCGTCAACTCCAAAATGCCCTGCTACCTCAATAGGCAAATATCAATTCCAAAATGTCTGAGTTCTTCGTGTTCCAACTATCACTATGAGCCAGTGACAGTCTTCCTCCGGAAAGAGGAACCCTTGCAAGTCTCTTAATTGAGAATGCTGTTAAAGGGTGATTGCTGGGGAGGGAGACTCGCAAACTGGTTAGTCCTCTTTGGAGTTTTAGAAAGATTTCAAGGCACTCACAGGCATGGTTTAGGACAATGAATGTAGAAATATTTTTCCACCACAGAAAGCAAGCATGCACACCAAACCAGTATAACAGGTTGGGTGTACAGTACTGCTGCCCTCCGGCTGCAACTTAGGAGCACAGACACTAAGGCACCTTCTGTCTAGCCTTTTTTTCCTTCTCCTAGCCAAACAAAACGAGTATCACTTCTACCAAATGGTTGTATCATGAGCAACACTCAGTGCATGTGCCTACGGACTTTCAAGCTGACTTCTCCTGGTTGCAGTGCGAGTTAAGTAAATGTCTTAAAGATCAATGAAACTTTTATGGAGTCAAGAGAAAGCCCAAACCTGCATGGGCCAGCTTTCAATAGTCCGAGTGAATACTGGACAACTCTTCCCAGGCCATCACTATAGAAACTAAAAGATGGCAATGTGGAAAGCATTTATGAGCCTGATTCCCCTTTTGAAAAAGGAAAGTAAATGAGTCCTGATAATAATGTGCCAAATTCCACTATAAAATTATAGGCTCTGGACAGCTAGGGTGGAGACCTGGCAACTGCTTCTGAGAAATCAAGGACACTTTTCTTCATAGGATCTCTGTTTGGTACCGTAAAAACAGAGTAGAAATATTGGACTGGAGGCCCTCTAAGCTCCCTCTTAACTTGCAAATTTTAACAATCTACAGATCTCCTCCCCGCCTAATTCTGACAACCAAATTCTCCTTCGATGTGTTAGCTGGATTTTCTCTTCTCTGCTGATTGCTGTCTAAAGCTGGCCTTGAAATCCCATGGGATGTAGCCAACTCTTCTGTAATATTTTCCTCTGAGTTCTAGTTTTTGTAGACTTGTGTGGTTGCCTGGATCTAGAGAACTAAGGAAAACTGAGGTAGGAAGGAAGGCTATAATTAGAAGATGCTCAAACACATCCACGCAGCTGATAGTAGGCAGCCTAAGTAACAAGACTGTATTGAGTAGCCCTGGGCAGACACTACCCAAAGAGATCTCTCACAAGGTTGTTCCAGTATTGAAGTCTGAGATACCTTTTATTCAAATCATTCCAAGGATGAATTTGCATATTATATCCTTTATAAAGACTCAGGTGACCATGGGCATGCTTTGACCAAGGAAGAGGGAAGAAATAAAATGCAAAAAGCTTCTGGGGGCTAAGTTCCTGAGGTAGGAGGGACTCAGAGGATGAGGAACACAGCTCGATAATGATAGATTCTATCCTTTTTCTAATAATTGTGACTAGAGTCTTCCCTACCAGTTAATACAAATTTTGAGAGATATAGAAAAAAGGTAAGTGGCCCTTCCTTGTCAAGGGGGTAACCTCTGGAAAAACCTTAGCCTAAGGAATTTTCCAGGGAGTTGCTTGCCAAGAAGGAAATTGACACCCTCTCTCATCCCAGCCACGGCCTTTCACTACTGTCAGGGATGGACCAAGTGCCACTTGATGGTACATGTGAGTTTGCAGATATTATGCAAGGAAATGATGCTTCCTTTTCTCAGCAAGTGACAATGCTCAAAAAGCATTTACCCCTACTATGTTTGGTCATTATATATATATATATATGATTTATATTTTCTTAAAAATTAGAAAGAAAACTCTGGCATTCTATCCTACTCTATATAATTCTATTTTGTGAATCTTGAGAATATTGTAAACCTTCATGTATGGAATCTTTACATAATTGTCTGCAGGGTTACATTTCATTGGGACTGAAAGGGTGAGATTGCTTTTCATGTTTGAAAAGATAACTGAGATGTGTTCACAGTAAGCTGAAGATAACCTGCATTTTCTTTTAGAAAAGAATAGGTTCCCAATACTATTGGAAATATTAAATGTTGATAGTTTATGGGCTCCACTAACCAGGACTCACTCAACCAACCAGCTTCGGGGTGTAAAAATAGGACAGAGACCTATAGGAAAATAGTCCTAAAATGAATAATCATTGACAATGTCTATGGCCAGCCCCACAATTTCTGGCTAGAGATGGTGCAATGAATCTAGAAATCTACATACAATGCATGGCCTTGGAAAACCATTATTCAAAGTATTTGATGGACATTGAATAATAATCTAAGTCATTTATTATCTTATACCCAAAACACTTAAAACATCCACTTGTTTACTGTACAAAACAGTATTTGAATATAGTCATTTCTACTAGAGAACACTTATTCATAAGTAGAGCTGATAATAACTAATATTATTTCAGAAAACTTCAGAGTATTTTGGTAAATGCTATCAAGCCAAGGCAAAATTAAACAACATTGCAAAATGCCTTTTTATTCACTTGGATACTTTTTAAACTCCAGCTCAGTTACAGGACAGGATATTGCACAGAAAACAGAATTTTAGAGCATTAATACATGAAGATTCCAGGATAAAACTTGATATTTTTTTATAAAAAAACATACTTATCAAAACCTCTTACCTTCACATGTACGAATAAAGCTGCAAATAATCCCCATAGTGCTTTAATTTATAATTTGAAATGCATCCAGAAATAATTTAAAACCAACAACCCAAGTACTTTTGTTTCTAATTAACTCTCACCTGACTAATAGGTTCACTTAATAATCTTAAGACAAATACAACTGGAATGGAAGCATTTCAATATCCCAAAAAGATATATCTGAGCTCTCTGTAGATCTACCAGGAATACATTGACTCAGATGAGATCAGAAGAGAACACATTCTCTATTGAAAAGTTTTCACAGAATGCACACAGGAAAATACCCTGGGAAAGAACTGATCTCACACGCATTTCCCAACTACAGAAGATTCATGGATCTAAGCACCTCATTTTCTAACTGAGACCATGACATTCAAATTATTTACTATATCTTTTGTTACAAACTTTGTGCATTTTTATATATACTGATTATTAATTCTAAAAATTATATATATATTCACCCTTTTACAGTGGGACATGGTACCAGAAACGTACCAGAAATCTAACATACATAGAAGTGTCAGGGAAAAATAAAAAACAAAACAAAACAGAAAAGCTATACACATTTTAAGACTCTAAAATAAGAAATAAATATTACCCATGATTCTGACACAAAAAGGGATGATAAGGGGACAGAGGAGAGGCCCAGTTTTCCTTAGTTTATTTTGGTCCCTTGAATGCAGACACAGGTGATGCGCCCACACAGTTCAGATGGCTGCCTAGCAGTCGTATATATTTCACACAAAGTCATTATTATATGAACAGCATATACTTTTTCAAGGAAATATATTACAGACACAATTTAGTAAGATACAAGTAAGAATCATATGCATAATATTTTCTCCATAAAACACATAAAAATAAAATATCTCATAGGATTATGCTAAAGGAGCCTTTTACCTTGTAGTTTTTCTTCAGTGGAATGCACTAAATGACCTTTTTTTGTAATCTTTAAATTAAATTAAAAAATGCTTCTTAATAGCATTTTATGCAGTGTTTCAAACGTTTTTAGGAAACACACAGAACTAAAAATAAGCTTCTGAGATTCTGAAGCCGGTTAAGTGGAGAATTTATTAAAGAGAATAAAGAAGATAATTTAAATCTATTAATTGGATTCTATACTTTTATAACCAGGCATGTCTATGATCATCTCATTACTGTTCTTGCATGTGTTATATTTCACAGATGTAGTTTTATATGTTTAATTACATGCACTTTATGGAAATCTCAGTGGCTTGGGGATTTCCTTGGTAACTCCACAAGAACACAATAAAATAAAATAAAAATGGCATTATAAGTAGATTTTTTAAAAATCGTGATTAAAGTGTTACTTGTAAAGCGGTAAATCATAAGAGAGTAGACTACTAAAAATCATAGCAACATATAAGCATTTGGCCCACTTTCTATTTTTTTTTTTTTTTTTTTTTTTTTTTTTTTTTTTTTTTTTTTTAGGAAAAGATTTTCCTCACTCAGAAAAGTGAAACACGTGAGGAACCTTGTACTGGTTTCTATCAACAAGCCTAACCATAGCAGCCGTGTCAGGCCAATGTCAACAGAGCCAGTGCCTTCAAAGGACAAAGGTATCTGATTAAGTAAGGCATGTAAAACAGACGGCTCTCCCCGCTGACTTGCTCTCTGCTGAGATCCTGGTTCCCACCTTTTAGAAATAGTTCCATTATTACAAGGGCACTTCGCTGATAAAACCCAGAGATGGAAAAACTTGATTACAAATAAAAATTGTACCGGTAGAGGCCAAAATCCGTGCTCCATCTCTCTTGGGAACGCTCTAACATGAATAATGAACCAACCAGACAGAGGTCGGTAGCACCATTGCTCCAGCACTACGCTGGGGAGTAATAAGCAAATGCATCTCCCTGTGCTCCCTGAATGTGTCTGTCGGTGTCGGTCAAGTGGCTGCGCAACACAGAGACAGCCAGCTTCTTCTGAAACAATTCTCACATATTCTCCCCACTGTCAAAACACACATTGAAACTTAGCCCAGTACACACACACACACACACACACACACACACACACACACACACGCTGTAATGGACACTGCTTAAATTTCTGACTGCAGAAATTCCCGCGGCTCTTGGCACTTACCTTGCAAGGATGTGTTAGGTAAACTTGCTTCATTCTCTCCCATTTTTTATCTCTTTTTAAAGGGGCCGGACAGTTCCAAGTTGTGTCAGTTACCCTGCGAGCGCCTGACCTTCTGACTTTCTGCTGTAGTAGTGTAACAGTACACTACCTGCTTTCTTCTGTGAATAATTACCATTCTGCTTCCTGAGTTACCTGGGCTTGCAGGACCTGTTTTACTCTGAAGTGAGATCACATCCTTTGATCCAATGCGCTGCTATTATAATGTGAGCTTCACAAAACGTGGCTTTGTTTCCGTTTTAATATTAACTTTTAATTCCTTACTTTCACTTTAGTCCTGAAACCGATTTTCATTTTCCTCCTGAAAGTGTGTGGATGCTACCAACACACCGCGGTGCACAGCCAGAGTTTCGTTTGTTTTTTAGAGTTTCTGCTCTGTTGCTCTTACAGAAATCAAGTAAAATTTAACATGGATTTTGCAATGTCCATTTTTAAAAATACAGAGAGCTAAGGTAGAGCCTGGGAATGAATGCTGTGCGGTGGTAGAAAGACAGGCCACTACTAGTTGTGCAGCTAGTTGAGGAATGCAACGTCTTTGAGACTGGACTTCCTCAACTATAAAATACAGGTAATATCTATTTCAGAGGATTATCACAAAACTTGAGAGAATAATGGATGACTGCTAAACTTTGTCCATGGCAGCTAATAAGCAAACAAGCAACATTTTTTCCTCCTCTTCGTCCTCCTTCTCTTCTTCCTATTCTTCTATCACCATCTTTCTTGTTTCCTTTCTCTTGTCCTTCTCCCTTTTCTGGCCAGTAGAAATAAGGCTGAAATAGAGCATTGGTGTCTGATGTCCACTATGTCCTGACATCAGTTGTATTACTTATTAATGGAGAGACTTAACAAAATGACTCGGTGTGTCACAAGTCCTCATTTATAAGTGGATACCAATATCTGCATTGCTTTTTTCATAGGCACATAGTGAGCATGACTCAAACTATTGTGCCTCAAAAATAATAATCTCTAGCAAAAATTAGGGACAAATTGGAGATTTATCTTTACTCATTTGTAAGTGAGAGAGAAAGTAGTCCACAAAAAATTAGGCAATATATTTAAGCTCTATCTCTCATTAGACATCTAAAATTAAAAATAAAACAACTCTACTTTCTCCCTCTAGAATTCCTTAAATATTAGCTTTCCTAAGGCATAAATATCTCCTCTTTTAATAGTTCTTTTATTTTCAATTTGGAAAACATCTGCATACCACATTTGCTAACTTATTAATGAAAGACTGACCTCATAAGTTATGTCAACAATAAAAAGGGCAAACACCTAGACAAGTTTTCTCAAAAGTATAAGAAATGAAAACAAACATGACATTAGCAGATTCTTATCAGAGTTCATTTAGAGTTCTCCCTTTCATTACCTCTCTGTGTCTCAGTTTCCCCATCTGTTCAATGAGGGAGCTTGGCCATTTATTATCTAAGGTTCATTCAATCATTTTAGTATCACAAATCTCTGATTTAAAATGATAGTTGTGGTTCATTTCAAACTAGCATACTCCTTTGCCTAGTACAATTGCATGATGTAACATATATACCGTGCTACACGGGTCACCAAAAGTAGCCTGAAATTGAATGTTTGCCAATACAACATTATAATAAACACATTTTGACTTCCACATAAGAGAAGAAACACACATATCAATCCTCACTCATTATGACAAACTTGCTAATGGATTTACATATCTGCCCTGGGCACCTATAAAGTAACACCTATAAAGCTCCCATTATCTAACAACTGAATTATGGCATGTAGGAAGTCATTATGAAAGTAGAAGAGTTCTATATCTGAGCCAAAGAAAAATGTAAAAATATAAACACCAGAAACCTCAAAAGTTTATGTTGCTGAACAGACATTCAGCTATACTGAAACAGTTTCAATACTAATAAATACCTTCTCTCTCTCTCTCTTCCTCCCCCCTGCTTTCCTCTCCAGTTCCCTTGTGTCATTGCCTCCCGCCCCCCCATCTCTCTGGCCTTTAATGCCTGGAAAACTGGTTCCTTCATCACTTGCCCTTTGCCTAATTCATATGCAAGGAATCTTCTTGATCCTACTCTTGTTTGAGGTTTTGTGGGGCCCAGAATGAGTCATCCCAAGATGTGCTTCTGTGGTATGTAGATTGTCTTGAGCTAAGGCAACTTGAGCTGCAGGATCAAGGAAAATTTATGTCCCCCACCCTTAACTGCCTAGAAGAATCTGAATTAGAGGCCTTGGCCATCAGAGATGATCACTGATAACTTTTGACCTAACTACATGGCAGGGCAAACTTTTATTTACTAAACATCTGTTCTTCTGACCATCCTGCAATGACCCTTTGGGCCCCCAAGGTGCATAACCTCATTCCTGGCTCAGGATATCTTATATACCTGATACCCCTTTTTATTACTAAATCTCTCCTGCATGTGGGGTCTTTGATTGTCTCACATATGAGGGTTTGCCATACATATGTATGAATGAAATTTGGTTATTTTCTCTTGCTAATCTGTCTCATGTCTCTGAGTATTAGACCAGCCAGAAGAACCTTAAGGGTAGGGGAAAGTTAGCTCCTCCCACAGTCTCTTCTTTGTACTTTCCAGATGCCCCTTGACAGCACAGAACTTCTCCTCTCACCATCACACTGTATTGTATGCACTGTTTAATTACTTCTGTCCTTGCAATCTGTATGTCAGAGATCATTTCTGTGTCGATCACTATATCTCTAACGCCTAGCACAGTTACTACTACATCCTATGCCTTCAACAGATTTTGTAAAGATGAATAAAATTACCATCATCAGAAAGGGTGAATTAAAGAATCTATTCCAGGAAAGAAAAATGATAAAGTTTAGAAGTTCATCTGCAAGAGCAAATTATTAAGAGCTACAAGGATAAAGGAATGAGGATAATTATGAAAGTTTTCAAAAAAGAGTCAAAGATACAAGTAAATGAAAGAAAAAAATTATAGTAAATGCATTACTTTAAATACACTGATAGAGAAAACCACTGGCCTAAAATGGAGTCACTTGGGCTAAAGTCCATTATACCAACACTAAATTTTTAATATTTAACCTTAACTGATCTTTCAGTCCTTCCCATAAACATAATCTTAATACAGTAGTCTGAACATTTCTGGTCAATACCAATGAGGTAATCAGTCCCACGGGTCCTCTCTATCCCCCATAGAAAGAAGCAATCTGTATGACAAATCCTTTGCTTTTCCTCTGCAACCACCCCCCAAAAAAGATGTCCTGGTCTAAAAATAATCATTTATCTTCTGTTAATAGTTCCCTTGCTCCACCCTTCTTTCTACAAAAACCTTTCATTGTGTACAACCCCTCAGAGAGCCCTTCTAGTTGCTAGATGGGATCCTGCCCCATTCATGAATTGCTTAATATTGCCAATTAGATCATTAGATTTATTTGGTTGATTTTGTTTTTAGCAACACAAACACACAAACACACACACACACACACACACACACACACACACACGGCATGGGTGGCATTAGGCAGAGTAGCTTCGCTGAATGGTGAAAAGGTAACTAAACATAATTATTAAAATTATCAACATTTTCTGAATCATGGAAAGGAAGTCTATGAGACTGAATATGTCTTTGAATGTATTCTGAGGCTGCTATAACATTACTGAGCACATTTTTATAAAAATATTTTTATTGGTTTCAGAGAGGAATGAACAGAGAGATAGAAACATCAACAATGAGAGAGAATCATTGATCAGCTGCCTCCTGCACACTCCATACTGGGGATTGAGCCTACAACCCAGGCCAGGAATCAAACCGTGAACTCCTGGTTCATAAGTGCTATGCTCAACCGCTGAGCCACGCCAGCCGGGTCTGAGCACATTTTTTAAAAACAACTTAGATGACAAAATAAAAAATGTTTTACCACCTCAACTATTGTGTTTCCAACCTTCTATTTCTAAAGCAAACTCCAGGAAGAGTGTGGGCAAAGGAAGATGTTCCAGATGCATCCTTTTTTTAAAAAATTTTTTTATATATATATTTTATTGAGTTTTTACATAGAGGAAGGGAGAGAGATAGAGAGTTAGAAACATCAATGAGAGAGAAACATCAATCAGCCACCTCCTGCACATCTCCTACTGGGGATGTGCCCGCAACCCAGGTACATGCCCCTGACCGGAATTGGACCTGGGACCCTTCAGTCTGCAGGCCGACTCTTTATCCACTGAGCCAAACCGGTTTCGGCCCAGACGCATCCTTTATCATTCAGTTTGCGGGTTCTACCGAAACTGCACAAGAGGAAGAAACCAGTATTGCAGTTATACTTGTGGGTAAATATTGAAATGTTTAGTTGATTTTCAAGTGAAGATATATGTGCAAATTTGAAAAAAAGAGTAATAATTAAAAATTCTGAATGTTGGCATTATAGATTATAGAACACTAGAGTTTCGGTGCACAGATTCATACAACGGTGGGGCCCCTCGGCCTGGCCTGCGCCCTCTCGCAATCCAGTACCCCTTGGGGGATGTAGTAGTTGTGATGCCGCAGGCTGCTGGTGAGGAGCCCGAGCCAGGCCAGGCACCATACCGCTCCCACTCATTTTGGCCCCGCTGTGCCTGCCACCACCACTGGGTAGCGCTGCCAGAGGCAGGAGAGGTTCATGCCACCGCAGCTGCACTTGCCAGTCGTGAACCAGGTGTCTGGAGCCCATCAACTGAGTGCTGCTCCAGCTGTGGGAGTGCACTGACCACTAGGGGGCAGCTCCCGAGTTGAGCATCTGCCCCCTGGTGGTCAGTGCATGTCATAGCGACCAGTCAAACGGTCACCTGGTCTAATGGTCAACCAGTCGCTTAGGGTTTTATCTATATAGATGAGACTCTGGGACCCAGGATGGACCTTTGATTATAGTTTGAAGAATTAGGTAGATGTGCCTGAAGGGTACCAGAATATGTCACCCTAAAATATACCTCTAGGACATGTGGATTATTTTGATTAATTCAGAACCTGGTTCTCTTTACCCCACTTTACTGCCTAAAAGTAAAATGTAAATGTCTCCTTTTGTAAAGAAAACTTACATGCATACAGGAAATTTCCATTTAAAAGTATATCTTTCCTACTTCCAGGAATATATCCTAAAAATCCTGAAACACCAATCAAAAAGAATATATGCACCCCTATGTTTATAGCAGCTCTATTTACAATAGCTAAGTTCTGGAAACAGCCCAAGTGTTTATCAGTAGATGAGTGGATAAAAAAAGCTCTGGTACATTTACACCATGGAATATTATGCAGCTGTAAAATAGAAGGATCTCTTGCCCCTTGGGACATCCTGGAGGGACCTGGAGAGTATTATGCTAAATGAAATAAGCCAGTCAGAGAAAGACAAGTATCACATGATCTCACTAATATGTGGAATCTAATCAACAAAATAAACTGACAAACAAAATAAATCCAGAGAT